TGAGAGGCTCTGCAGAGAAGAATGGGAGAAACTCTGCATATACAGGTGTGCCAAGCTTGTAGCATCATACCCAAGAAGACTCGAGGCTAGTATCGCTGCCAAAAGTGCTTCAACAAAGTAATGAGTAAAGGGTCTGAATACTTATGTAAATGTAATATTTCCGTTTTTTTATTTACTTTTTTTGCAAAAGTTTCTAAAAACCTATTTTTGCTTTGTCATTATGGGGTATTGTGTGTAGATTGATGAGAGAAAAAAACTATTTAATCAATTTTAGAATAAGGCTGTAACGTAACATAATGTGGAAAAAGTCAAGGGGTCTGAATGCAAAAATAAGTGGCAAAAATAAGGGGTTAAATACATGTCATTTTTTTTCTTCTGATCTTTCTTATATCTCTCAGATATAGGACAAACACTTCGGAACAAACTTCCTTTAGATTTGTTCTGTTGTTCCATGTAGTGAACCTGTTATTCAATGCGTTTGTATGGGCTAATAGCAGTAAGGCCAAATAAATTTCTTCATCAAACATTTTTATTATATATTTTTTTTTACTGCCACCCCCGTGCTTCACGGTTGGGATGGTGTTCTTCGGCTTGCAAGTCGCTCCCTTTTCCTCCAAACATAACGATGGTCATTATGGCCAAACAGTTCTATTTTTCTTTCATCAGACCAGAGGACATTTCTCCAAAAAGTAAGATCTTTGTCCCTATGTGCAGTTGCAAACCGTAGTCTGGCTTTTTTATGGCCGTTTTGGAGCAGTGGCTTCTTCCTTGCTGAGCGGCCTTTCAGGTTATGTCGATATAGGACTCGTTTTACTGTGGATATAGATACTTTTGTACCTGTTTCCTCCAGCATCTTCACAAGGTCCTTTGCTGTTGTTCTGGGATTGATTTGCACTTTTCGCAACAAAGTGCGTTCATCTCTAGGAGACAGAACGCGTCTCCTTCCTGAGCGGTATGATGGCTGCGTTGTCCCATGGTGTTTATACTTGCGTACTATTGTTTGTACAGATGAACGTGGTACCTTCAGGCGTTTGGAAATTGCTCCCAAGGATGAACCAGACAGAAAAAAAATTCTGAGGTCTTGGCTGATTTCTTTTGATTTTTCCATGATGTCAAGCAAAGAGGCACTGAATTTGAATGTAGGCCATGAAATACGTCCACAGGTACACCTCCAATTGACTCAAATGATGTCAATTAGCCTATCAGAAGTTTCTAAAGCCATGACATAATTTTCTGGAATTTTCCAAGCTGTTTAAAGGCACAGTCAACTTAGTGTATGTAAACTTCTGACCCTCTGGAATTGTGATATAGTCAATTATAAGTGAAATAATCTGTCTGTTAACAATTGTTGGAAAAATGACTTGTGTCATGCACAAAGTTGACGTCCTAAACGACTTGCCAAAACTATAGTTCATTAACAAGAAATTTGTGGAGTGGTTGAAAAACGATTTTTAATAACTCCAACCTACTTTCGTAGGCAAGAACCATGGTCTTGTCGTGGATGCAAGCTTCGACTGGAAGCCAGTGGAGTGTGCGGAGGAGCGGGGTGACATGGGAGAACTTGGGAAGTTTGAACACCAGGTGGGCTGCAGTGTTCTGGATAAGTTACAGGGGTTTGATGGCACAAGCGGGGAGCCCAGCTAACAGAGAGTTGCAGTAGTCTAGATGGGAGATGACAAGAGCCTGGATTAGGACTGCACACTCAAACACAGTTAGGAGGGAGAGGTTGTATGTCTAATTGGGTCTATATATAAAAATCCTTCACATATGTACTTCTGCCCTGAATCCCTGGACATCTGCTCTGAGAGTAAAGACCACGGGCATGCAGATGGGTCTGCAAGACTGTCACGTTTTACTGCAACTATCTGGCTACACTTTCAGCACTTACTATCACTAACATAGTTTTTCTTTCATTATGTAATGATGCAAACATAAACAGAAATAGGTTATACGTTTCTTATCTGAAGAACTGCTATTGATAAAGAGCTTCAGATCTACTGTCCCCCACCTATTGTATCTTCTGGTCTCTCATTAAATACTTATGGTCAAGAATGTATAGTGAATTCCATCATTTTCATCATTTTTACACACTCATACTGAGTAAATGGTGCTGTTCAAATGCACTTTACATTAAGGTGGCCTTTATAAAGGCTTTGCAAAAGTTGCAGACAGATAGTTTATAGAGTGTGTATTAATCAGTAATAAACAGTTATAACTCATTGATTGAATTATAACAGCCACATATAACTCCATTATTTTCAGCAAGCATAAACAATAACACAATATCAACCAATGATACACAAACCCTTCATAAAAGGTGAAGTGCTAAGTCATTTTACATATTGTATGCACTGTAAAAAAGATTCAGTCAAAATTGAGATTCAGTCAAAATTACTCGTTTTATCTAGCCAAGTCAACTAAATCTGTTGAGTTTAAATTTTTTTAAGTTGAGTTGACTTCAACTCACTCAAAATGTCAAAACATATTAAATCAAGTTGAGTTACCAAAAAACGGTGTTTACCATGAAGTAAAATCAACTGAAGAAACATAACAGTTGTGGTGACAAAAGATGTCAAGTTAAGATAACTGCAACATATAAAATAGTCTTAACTTTTAAAATCAAGTTGCGTTAGCGAAAAACTAGGTGTTCACTCAACTTAGAAATTCAAAACCAAGAAGTCAAATCAACTGAAGCAACGAACAGCTGTATTGACAAGAAACTTCACATTCAGATTACCAAAATTTACATTTAGGAAATTTAGCAGGCACTTTTATCCAGAGCGACGTCAACATTCAACGAAGTTAGATAAACAACCATGTTAAAAGGAACAAGTTAAACGTTTCTGTAATGGTTACAGAGCATGTCGTTGTAGTTAAAGTGGTCTGTTGGTTAGTTGACATTACTGAGTGCACTGCCAGTTTTGAAACTGCAGAAAATGCTCACACATGAGCAAAAGACATATGGGAGCATAATGTTCCCTACTGAAATCTCTATTATATTATTTCAAAGATTTCAGCCCAGTTCAGAAATGTGTAATTTTCAATGTAGTTGTTTTGGATGTTGACACAACTTAAAATTTGAAGGCAGCATTGTAACAAACTTTGGTAAGTTGAAACAACTAATAGTTTTGTTTTTCTGATGAGCAAATACTTGTCCTTTCCACTAAATAATTTGTCAAAACAACTTAAGTAGCTTTGTTAGCACAACTAAAACAATCAGTTGAAGCACATTGATTTGACTAAAAGTATCATGTTCACTCAACAAGCTATTAAATCCAAATGTGTCAGTTCCACTTACAGGTTGAAGTAACTTTAGATTAAGCTAACTCAACATGAAGTCCTGATTGGACTTGACATTACATTTAAGGCAGCATTGTAACAATCTTTTGTAAGTTGAATCAACAAATATGTTTTTACAGTGTGGAGATTGGGTGAAGGTACAATGTTACATAAGACTTTCAGCTTGAGAGCATCTGTTTACCCTAGAGAGAAAGTAGAGGCAGGGAGAGGACACAGGGGGAGAGGCCAGAGAATGACAGAGGCAACTGTAAAAAGAGCAATCTGCCAACAGGAGTGGTAATAGCCTATTTAGACATTGTGAATGAAAATTAATATACAGTATATATATTTTTTTGGGGAGGCCATTGAGCAATAGGGTTTCACCAGCTCGATCATTTGAAAATGTTTAGTGTAGGCTAGGCTATACAGAATGTATGGAAAGCTGGGATATGGTTAGATAGGACTGGGGAGGGGGAGTTTGGCTCGGAATTTCATACAGGCTGTCAACTTTCTACTGTGGTAGGCTACAATGGCAATTCCCAATGGTCCTCGGAGAGATACTAGACAAAAGATGGAGCGGAGAGAAGATACAATTCCTTCCCTGCAGTATGACTCATTTTGAAATTGAGAATATTGTGATGATATTAATGTATACTGAACAAAAAGACATTCCTGCAGTCAGCATGCCATCAAAACTGTGTTGTGTGACAAAACTGCACATTTTAGAGTGTCCTGCACATTTTAGAGTGTTCTTTTATTGCCCCCAGCACAAGGTGCACCTGTGTAATGCTCATGCTGTTTAATCAGTTTCTTCATATGCCAGACCTGTCAGGTGGATGGATTATCTTGGCAAATGAGAAATGCTCACTAACATGGATGTAAACAAATTTGTGCACAACATTTGAGAGAAATAAGCTTTTTGGGCAAATGAAAAATTTCTGGGATTTTTTATTTCAGCTCATGATACTAGGGACCAACACTTTACATGTTGCGTTTATATTTTTGTTCAGTATATTTCACTTTGACATTAATAGGCCTTATGTATTTGTCCAAGAGATGCAGTCCCACTTAGGTAGCCTATAATCAATAACTGACCAAAATACTTGTACAGTGATTGTTCAGTGTTCTGCCAAGTCAGTGGAATAAAACCGATTTCGTACCCCTCTCACCTTTTTATCTTGCCTCACATCATTTGATGGTCAACCTCACGGCTCCCCTGGTCGGGATGAATGATTAAGGCAGTGACAAATGTTGATGATATGCGGCTCTTTTACTGTTCATTATAATCTGTGGTGACGCGGAATTTAACGATTTTTGCGCGAGGACAGTGCGCAGCACGGTTTATAGCAGGCAACTATAAATCCCCCTCCTAAGGCACTCAAATTCACTGATGCCTTATGCGCGTGTATACTATAGAAGCGACTGATTCGTCACTTTGCCTGACACGTAAGGACATCTTTATAATTGCGCGAGCAGGTGGCATTCAGAACTTTATAATTTCACAAGTGAGAGTGTGGGTGTGTGTTCTTAGTTTGCATTGTAGCCTAGGCTAGAGACACGCGAATAGGCTACTCAGAGGTGATCCAACAGGCTGCCCTGACTACACACTGGCTAAATGCTCAGCACCAGCACACAGGTGCATCTGTCTTCACAAGACCTTCAGTCTAGTCCTGGTATCTGCACACAGTAATACATTAAGGTAAAGGGAACGGCATCCGGCAATGAGCTCCTCTCTTCCCAAGAGCGAATCTACCACATCTCTGCTGAGAGCTTCGGCCGTGCCAGTGAGTCGGAGGTCCGAACATTCTGAGCATCATGGGTCGCGCAGCCACCGCAGTCACATTCATCAACCCGACGGAGGTAAAGATGTACCTGACGAGCCGTGTTGGACCGATGAGCGCGAGGCAAGAGCGCACAGACCCCTTTGTCAACCGAGGCATGCCGGTGGCAGGACAGACAGGAATGGCTGTGATAAACGTGGACATTCCCACCAACAAAGCAGCCACTACGATGACGGCTACAGCCAGGAAGAAATTAGAGAGCGGATGGATCGGAGTGGGAAAGACCGCAGTAAGTCGTCTAGACACCCACACCACCACCACCACAACACCTCAAGAGGTGACCTGCCGCCGGCGCATCACCACGGCAACGCACGTCCGGGCCGGAGGTCCTCGCCAACTCCATCCTATACAAAAAAATCCGACGATACTGCGTACTTTTTTGAATCAAAGGACATAATATATACTGGGTCGTCCACGAGTTTAAACTGTGACCCACCGGCAACGTCCACGCCAGTGCCTGGCCACGTTACCAGCCGCACCTCCAAAAGACTCAGCACAGCTCCATCCGAACATGACTCCAATCTGCACCCGATAGTGAAATCAGTCTTCGGGCAGGTACGTAGTAGCCCCGTGTCTAGACAGAACTACAACACATGATTACTCTCGAACAAACATTCAAAGTCAGCACAAGGATTCAACAAGTAGACGGGATTAATAGTCAGTATGAATACATTTACCCGCATTGACAAAAAACGGCGCACGACAGAAGTTCCCTTTTTATTCAATATGAATTTATGTATTATTTTAATTCAAGGGTCATTTCGAATTGTCATTTTAGACAACCTTTATAGGCTACACTGTCACTATACTGTAAAACTGACTGTCTCTAACAAAATGCAAAAATATTCAACTTAATTTTTACCGTTGTCCCGCTAATACATTGGCTTAAACCGCACTCTTATGCACGAATAAACGGGTAGGTGTTTTGTTGTGTAACAAAAATATGGGGAAAAACACGTTTAAAGGTCCAATGCAGCTGTTAATTAAAAAAAAAATCCATATAAAATAATTTCTGGGTAACAATTAAGTACATTACTGTGATTGTTTTCAATTAAAATGGTCAAAAATAAACAAAAATAGCTTCTTAGCAAAGAGCAATTTCTCAAGCAATAATTTTGCTAGGACTGTCTGGGAGTGGTCTGAGTTGGGAGGGAAAAATTGAAAATGAGCTGTTATTGGCAGAGAGGTTTGGAACTCTCTTTCTTATTGGTCTTTTGACAAATTTACAGCCAGTCACTAGGCAGGCCAAAACTGCATCCCACCAAAACAGGCTGAAATTTCAGGTGGTCTTTTCTCTTACACTAAAAAGGCATTATCATCATTTTCACAATTTCACAGTATTGTTCCAACCTCATAGTGTGGAAATATATATAAAACACAGGAAAATCACGTTTTTGACTGCACTGCACCTTTAACAGTAATTCATAACACAGAAATGTAGAATGTGTGACAACAGAGAAGGTATTATGGATTTTTCCAACTGCACAGTGCACTACACAATGTCTCAAACTTGTCCCCAAGATTCCAATGCCTTATTGTATTTGAAACAAAACAGTTTGAGACATATGAATAGTAGCCTATAAGTTAGATGATATAGCTCAGACAGCTCAGACGTGTGATATACACACCTAGAGAACATTTGAATTCTTCACGGTGTCAGGTTGGTCTGGAAGGGTCAAAGGTGAGGGACAGGTAGAGCAGCAACCCAAGCCAAAATGTGACCGGACACCCATTCACCCCTGTTGACCATATAAAAAATGTATGTGCGTTTTGAGTCCAAATGTAACTTCTGTGTATCTGATAATTAGTTGGATGGAGGGGTTGGCAGACTATCATTTATAGCGATATGAATATGGATACTCTCATCATGTCTGTTACCTGCAAAGGCAGGTGGATAAACTTTCCAATTCTGTGGAAATTGTAGCTGTGCTGAACACTCACATGCGCACACACACACACACACACACACACACACACACACACACACACACACACACACACACACACACACACACAGCTATTTGTGGTAAGTCACACTCACATCAAGTGTAAAAAAGAAAGTGACACTGAACAGTTACCAACAGATGGAGAGGTGAGGGTGGATTATAAAAGAAGGGTGCTTCTCCATCTCTTCATTCCTGCATTCCATCTCCTCTACCATCTATTAATACGAAAGCCATCCTCAAAGTCCTCATAAAATAGCCTCATTCCTATTCCTCTGTTGCTCTTCAAATAGGCTATCCAGTTTTTCTTTCTGTGGCTTTGAGATATTTGTCTCAGTGCTGAAGGAGATATAAAGCTCAGGAGGCAATACTTTCCCCATGTGTTAATGTGTGCCAGAAATAACTTCACTCAATCCAGGCCAGAGCTCTAATCAGTCACAGGAGTTCCAGGCAGCAAACCCCAATTTATACAGCACTGCTGTGCTCTATACTGCCTATCTCAATCTGCTCCACAGTGAGACAGTAGCCCTCTATCACTCTATCCAATCATTATGCTTTGAAATGGGATTACAGAAGGACCTCTAATGACAATATCTGTTAACACTTGCTTGCCTGTGAAATTGCTCAGCTGGAGGAGTTTTCATGTAGAAAAAGTGTGCAAGGTGACTGTGTCATTTGATGCTAGTTACTGTAAATCAGAGACTAGTCACAAAGCTCTCAGACTATTCAATAGTATCAGATCTATAACTGGATATGCAGTATGGTTGTGTCCAATTAAGTAATAGCAAAATTTCAATGCAACTGAGAGTTGTGTTGTGGTGCCTAGATATTGCAAGATGTTCTGTTTGTCTGATACAAAGGTGTGTGTGTGTGTTTGCACAAAGGTGCATGTTTAGATCTTTGGTTGTGATACTCTATTAGGTGACACTGCCTTTCACATTTACATGTCATATCTTATCTTTTTATTGGCACAAGTATACTTTGAATAAATGTTTTGATATGTGTGTGAGTGAGAATATACCCACTGACATTCTATATTTCATATTTTCATCAAGGTCTGCATTCAATCCCTACAGAACCTATTCTCTGCCAGTGGAAGCTAAATATAGCGTTCCCAAGACCTGATTATAAGAGAGTTAAGGAGAGCAGCCTTTTGTGTGGTGGTAGAAACATTTAAATCCTTTGGCTAATGCGCTACCTGACAAAGCCAGTTTGCAAATTGGTGACTAAAGCAGGGATTCCTGCATAAGCAAAAATATTATCTTAAGCATCTATATAAATAGCATGCTTTAATTTTCATCAGAAGGAATTACTGAAATAGAGGGGCTATGAGGAAAGGTGGGGGGGGGTCATGAGAATAATAAGTGTGTAATGATTCATGATTCCTATCAATAAAGGAACATCTTGATCTAAATACAATATCCCTGTCTAGACTTATGAATAAATAAAACAACACACATTTTGGTCAGTTATGATAACATCATCATTACACTCTCAATTCATGGGGAACATAATTATCACAAACATTACTGCTTTCATATTTTCAATTAATTCCTATTGTTCTTAGCAGACTGTATGTCGATGTAGTCATACATGAATTATATGTAGTCTAAATTATCCAGCTCTATCCATTTATAGACCAATCCCAGGTAACAGCAGCACCTTGGTCAAGGACAGAACAGCAGTGGGTCTGTGTCCCACCTGGAATTATCACAAGTGACCTTCTGCCTGGTTTCTTAGTCACTATTGGGTCAAACTCTTCTTTTAGTCTATTCACAGCTTTCACTGTGGTATGGAGTACTTTATTTGACCTAAAGATACCTGTTCTGAGGAAGGGAAAATATTATTTGGAAGTCTGGGAAGAGCAGTAAATAGATGATAGTCTCTCACCAATGAAAAATCACCTCTGAGATGACACCACCAGATGGAGGTGGCTGCTCACAATATGTTAGTCAGAGAGTGTGCGTCTGTTTGTAAGATTTGTGTCAAGCATTTGTATTACTATAAACCATGGATACAAACACAAACCATTTTCAATGTATTCAAAGTGGTGTATCTGTGTGTGCATCAGTGTTTGATAACAGGTTCTGCAGTTTACCCAGCTTGAGTTAATAAGTTACACTCATTATTAAACTGTGTTGTGTGTTATTGATTTTGACAATCACACATTGGCAAATCCACAGTTCTCAGGTACAGGAGTGAGAGGGATAAATAGGAGGAAGGATCCGAGGCAGGTGGGTAGGCAGGCATGCTAACAGACCTAGGTTATGTAAGGAAAACACAGGACTCTTATTTTTCCTCGTCAGCTCCCTGTTCTCACAGCATCTGACAGCTCTCTGGTAAAATCACAGCTGAGACTTCCTTTTCCCTTGCTCCCTTTTCCTGCTATTGGTCTCCCCCCCTGCTCACTACATTCCCTTGTCACTCTTCCGCTAAATCATTTCCTCTTTCCCTCTATGGACCTCTCTCTCTCTCTCTCTCCTTTGTCAGTCTCATTCCTTTCCCTTTTTTATTGGTTCTCTGACCCTCTTTCCATCCCTCCCACCCTTCCTCTCCATCCCTCCCTCCTTCCCTCTCTCATGCCAGGGTCATACTGACCTTGATGAGGTCTGAAAGGGAAAGAGGAAAGAGGGGGGCAGAGAAAATGGAGAGAGAGCATGGATGACAGAAAATAGAGAGAAAAATGCAAGGCCTGGGTGGTAAAGGGAATGGAAAAGGAGGTGTGGATAAGCTGCTATGATGTAGGTATTGTCGTATGAACCACGTCATTTCTGTTTTCAATAGGTTTATAGCCCAAATACTATTTATAGCCACGGATGGGTATTTATACAGTCCATTAACGGATGGTTGTGAAGGAGCTAGATGTTTTCACTATTCAGTTAAATCCTCATTGAAATTTGAAGGATTAGACCGTGAAATCCAAGAGACTGTGTGTAATGACATGTGTGTCTGTGCGCATGTGCGTGCATGCGTGTGTTTGTGTGTGCGTATTAATAATTAATATTCATGGAAAACCTAAGGCTGTCCGTAGCCACTGAAAGAGGAAATCAGAGAGAGATTGAGAGAGAGATTGAGAGAGAGAGAGAGAGAGAGAGCGAGAGAGAGAGAGAGAGAGAGAGAGAGAGAGAGAGAGAGAGAGAGAGAGAGAGAGAGAGAGAGAGAGAGAGAGAGAGAGAGAGGTTAGAGCAGACGAGAGGCAGAAGAAAAAGAGAAGAGGAATATTGGCTGAGGTTGTCTAAAATACTTGAAATGTTGACAGCAAACTACTCCCCCTCCATTCTCCTTTAAAAAATGGAAAATGTTAATGAGCTTCTCTCTTCACTATCCCTATCACGGAATAAATTAGTTTCAAATGAAAGATGATAGTTTCATTGCCATAAAATAACAACCATTTCAACCTAATAAATTATTCAGACTTTAATTAAAACGACTGTTATATTTTACCTCAGGAGATGACATGTCACCATAGCCTCTCTCTGCCTGGGGTGCTTTTACAGGTCACTGACTGAATCCTCCTCTGGTGATCTTCACATACAGAGCTGTGAAGCTGTGAACATGCTACAAGGTCATCATCCCAATTCAACTGGTTTCTCAGGCTCAGCTCTCTTCCATAAGGAGACAGACATAAGGGTTATCCATTCTTCAATATTTACCCCCAGATTAAACTTAAATACAAAGTATAAAGTACATTATTAATCTAATTTATCAGAAGAACATCTGTATCTGAAATGTGAATATTGATGTGAGTCAATGTAGCATTATAATATACAGTAATAACTATAGGTAATTGGATGAGGCACAACATTTCTACTGTGCGACTAATATCTTCATCGTTGTACGGAGGTTACAGAATGGGCCCAAACTTACATACAGTACTGTAGTATAGTACATGGGGTATGGTACATGGGGTATGGTACATGGGGTATGGTACATGGGGTAAGTACATACATGGAATGAGAAAAGACATGCCATGACGGAATCATGAGAGATGATGTTATCAGCCCTCCCAGTCCCAGTCCCCTCTAGCGTGTGTGCATGTGTGTGAATGTGTGCTGCTTGTGGAAATACTAATGCATGCTTTCCTTTGTGTGATGACTGTGGGTGTCCATGGACTTGTTATTAGAACACATTATATAGGGATTTTTGCATGCATTGATGAGTGTATATCAGGATGTGTGTGAATGCAGTGAGCATGATTGTTTATGTGAATTTGCACCATTATGTAGGTTTAGTGAGCTGTGTGTGTGTTGTGCCTTTGCACACACTGGGCTGGCATTATGAGAGACGACGGCTCCTGATTCTGATTTCTGATGTGTTCTGATGTTCACAATGAGCCTCCGGTGAGGGGAAACCGAGAGGCAGAGTGAGAATAAATGAATGGAAGAGAGAGGATAGACGAGAGATAGGACCTTGGTGGGTAACTATGGGAAACAATTGACAAAGTCAAACAGGAAATTATGATGTTGATTATGTGAACAGTGGCAGCCACTGCAGGTGATTGCAGGGATTGCTATCAGCATCAGCATCCCTGTGACGTTTGCTGCCTAAAAGCTGAGACCCCTGTGGCTATCTAGCAAGTATATGCAGTGATTTGTGGTGTGTGTTTGCGTGTGTGTGTGGTCCATCATTCACATGCCTTTTATGTTCATTTGGTGCATATTTTGTAGAGCTTTGACTTTGATCTCAATACTGTCCCTTCTAGCTTAGCATGACTTTATGATTTGCGAACTCTTCTGTGTGTGTACATGTGTGTGTAAGAGAGAGGGGGAGGAAGGTAGCCTATCAGTTAAGAGTGTTGGGTCAGTAACCGAGAGGTCGCTGGTTAGAATCCCCGAGCCGACTAGGTGAAAGATCAGTCGATGTGCTCTTGAGCAAGGCACTTAACCTTATTGCTCCTGTAAGTTGCTCTGGAAAAGAGCATCTGCAAAATGACTAAAATGTAAATGAGGAGAGAGAGGGGAGGGAGAGGGAGAGAGAGAGGAGAGAGGAGAGAGGTTGAGGAGAAAAAGAGAGGGGGAAGAGAGAGCGTGTGTTATATTTTTAGCTCTGCAGCCCCACATCTGTGTGTGTTTAATCGAGTGTATGCGTGTGTTTGTGTATTTGGATTAGTGTCTCCAGTGTCTTGCTCGGGGGAAGGTAATATGTTAATGAGCTTCTTTACCACTGTCTTTTTGCAGAGATGGTTTAAATCTGTGCAACAGAGTGAGGGAGAGAGATGGGAGAGGGAGGGGAAAAAAGAGAGAGAGACTGAGGGAGAGAGAGAGAGGATGGTGAGCGAATGAATAAGCAATCTTGCATTTTGTGCTTTGAGCGCTTGCATCTCTCTAAGACATGCCTGCCTCCTCTCCCTCTCATGTCTTTGTCACTTTGATCTTTCATTCTTTGTTGTATTTCTTTGCTTTCCTCCATTTAAGATTACCTCTCCTCTTCCCTCTCACCCCGTGACTCCCAGTGTCATTCCCTCTAGGTCCTCTGTTGATCCTGTGCAACCTCACTCTCCCGCTCTTTCTCTCTGCGTGTCTCTCTCTCCCTAAATTCCCTCGTCTTAGCTTGTGACCCACTGAACCCCCTTTCCTTTAACCCCCTTTCTCTTTATCCCATGCATGCATAGAAACACATGCACATGCAAACACACACGCAAACACGTGCACACACACCACACAGGCATACTAACACAGACACGTGCACACACACCACATACCGAGAGGGACTTCACCATGGGGAACTCAGTCAAATCTCACTTCTCCAAGAAGGTAAGGTTTTCTGTACTGTGTTCTGGCTGTGGTCCACCTGAATGAACCCCTGACTGTCTGTGGTGCATGTCTGTCTCACTATGTGTCCTTAATTTAGCTGGAGGCAATTGGACCACACTGGACCTTTTTGACCCTGGGATTGTGTCACAGGTTGGTGGCACCTAAATTGGGGAGAACGGGCTCGTGGAATGGAGTAGGTGACTGGAGTGGAGTAGGTGGTATCAAATACATCAAACACATGGTTTCCAGGTGTTTCATGCCATTCCATTTGCTCCGTTCCGGCCATTATTATGAGCCGTTCTCCCCTCAGCAGCCTCCACTGGATTGTGTACAGTAGTATTGGACTGTGAGAGACTTGGTTTTGGAGCACACTGCTGTACTGACTGTGGGGCATCTCAGTCAGTCTTCTGGTCTGAGGAGCAGTGCTCTCGCTCTTACAGGCTAGTTGTGAATATTAGAGGAGACAGGACAACCTAGTGTCTCATGCTGTTGTCTCATCCACCCCACTGAACCACTGTAACTAAAATAGTCTGCTGACCAGTCTAGAATACCGACTGTGAAGCTTGAAATAATTTGTGGACTGGATGGCGACAATACAACTCTACCGTGCATTAGGACTGTATTGTGTCTGTTTTTCCAGATTTCTTTGTCATAGATATATACCAGATGGACATATAACTGTTATTCCCTACTGAATGTCAGTTGTGCTGGAGTGACTGTGTTGGAGTCCTCAGTGTAGCCAATGATGCTCAACCGTCACTCAGCTGGAGTTGACAGTGTCTAGTTGTGTCCTGGAACCTGCCAGCTGGGATGAGTGGTGTCAATGAGCAGGCTCATGTCAAGATCAACCACATGAGTCAAACTGGCGTTACCACTTCACCTCTTTAGAGGGGATTCAGTGGCGCAGACAAACCAACAGGTAGCGCTATCCTGTTTAACCCTGCCTGCAGAAGCGCCATGAACCGTAACCTGATTTTAGCAGACACTTTGTGTACACAGGTTGTTTTTGCAAACGGTTGATGTTCATTGTTCTATACATGGACTACAAACTGGATTTGACTGAGCGGCGTATATCTATAGAATGGATATATTGGGTTTAGTTTTAAGGTATCTGCCAGCGCTACATGCTTAGTCTGTGTACAACAATGACAGCCACAGCTCTTTAGCTATCTAGTACAAAGATAACTGCACAATAAAGACATGATTTCATGTTCAGTGGGAGCACTGGTTCACCATGCATCAGGGATATAAATCCCCTTCAGCAGCTGTACATCCTTGAGCGTCTACAGTACAATACGACAAGCAACTGTTGAAGCCATCTGGTAGATAGGGAGGTTACTGCTTGACCGCGTCTCACACTCAAATATTGCTTTAGCTGCCATTTCAATGTAATAATGTTTTTACATATGTCTCTGCATTAGTAGTGATTTTGGTGACACACTGGACCTTCAGATAATCAGCACTGCTTTGTGCATCACTTTGTGCACTGTAGCAGGGCAGGAGCTGGCACTAGAAATTCCACAGCAACAGATGGAGTATGAAGGTCATCCAAAAAATCCCACCAAGCGAATTAAAACCCAACCAAGGGAGGGAAGGAAGGATAGTGGGCAGGGATAGAGAGAGAGCTCTCTCGCTGCTGAGAAAGGCTAATTTTGGGGGAAACAAACAATGGAGGGAAATAGAGTTATGTCCTTAATTTGCCTGCTCAGTGTTCCTTGTATAGTGACACTTTTGCCATAAGCCTGTCAGCATTCCAGTCTCTGAACACAGCTCAGCTCTGCCCACTGAAGGCACTCTTTTCTGTTTGTCATTAGACTGCAGAAAGTTTGGCCCTTATTTGCCTTGGTGCAGATTAATATTTGTAAAGGTTTCTAATGGTGGCCGATGTTCCCCTCCTCTTTAATTAACCTGTGGCTCTGTCTGTAATTGGGGCTGTGCCTTGTGTGGCCTGCCGCTGCCCCCTGGTCCACAGACTAATTGGTCATTATAATGTAATGGCTGGATGGATTTGATTCCTTCCATCATTGGGACAATGGCTAATTGGAACAAGCACGAATAAGCCATCCATCTCTTTTATATGCAAGTGGCTTTCCTGTGATTAATAAAACCCTGGATTTAAAGAGTAAATGGACTTTAGACAAAATTATGCATTGACAACCCTACATTGTAACCAGTAATGAGTGTGACCATTGTTGGGGTAGCTGTCACAGGGAACACTGTACCACTATTACACTGTGCCTATGTCAAAAGCAGAATGGCTTGCAGATATTTCTTTGGGTCTTCCTGCGTGCCCTCTCTTGGATTGGTCTGATTGTCTTAGTTAGCTGTTGTGTCTCTTTGATTATATAAATCTGGCAGTGTTCTGAGTCAAATAAGTGTCCTCAGCTTCACAGAGAGCATCCTTGGGACGGATGGATGGGTGGCATCCATTGCCCCATTCACTGAACCCAACCCCTGACTGTGTTCCTTTCACATGACTGACACCCTGACCAACCCCATTACCATCCTGACCTCTGACCTCACAGGGTCTAACAGACCTCAGCCTCTCTACCTCCACCTCCATCCACCCACCCTCATGCCAGCTAGCCTCTTGTTGTTGTCTGACTCCATGTTGTCCATCCACAAGCTGAGTCACAGTCTGTGTCCCTGTCTCTGCCCCTGCGCCTGCGCCTCTATCTCCTGGCCCCACACCCTGGATATCTGTGGCCCCAGGACCAGAAGAAGAACTACAGAGCAGTGCAGTCCTGTGAGGAGGGGACTGGGGGTGCCTATCTTGAGCCACTAGTGGCTATGGCCCAGAATGGAGGCAACATGCACAACATACTGGGGCCTGCCTGCATCTTTCTACGCAAGGGCTTCGCTGAGAGCCGGCAGGCTGTACGTAAGTCCAGACACAAACAGACACATGCCTATTATGCATGCAGAGACACATTTACAGTATGTAGCTGCACGTAATAAAACAGCTATGTTCACAAAAGCACACAATCATACAGACATTCTGTCTTTGTCTGCTTCCTTTTCACCCACGTTGACCAATACACTCCTTATGGACTGAAAGAAGAAGGTAATGGACTCAAAATATTTGCAGTAACCTACGTATAGAATGCCTGCCAGTTGGTGTGAAGATAAGTGTATATGTATGTGACTGTGTGTGTATGTGATGGCACTCATTGCCATTTGTGTAACGCTGATAGATTGTAAGTCCTTGTGGTACACCTAGTATTACTCTGACAGAATGCTATACTGAGTACTAAAGTCTGCGTGGATGTCTTCATCTGTCTCACTCTCACTGTGATCAGTGTCAAGGCCTTGTCGTTAAGGGAAATGTGCACTGACCTCTCCTTGGTAGACTAGCATCGTTCATAGCCTGTCCTGATGATGTGCTCTGTTCTGGGGATGTAGGGGTGGAGGCGGGGCCTAGACTTTCAACTTGAGAGAGAACAAAAGGAACTCCTTCAGTCCATGTTCCCCACAACTCACCACCAACCTTCAAAGGTGGCATAAGTAGATAGGCTACTCAGACAAGCATCAAACAAATTCTCTAAACTAAGTTGCATTTGGGTAGCCTGACGACTCACACTAAATTATTCCGCTGTTCTGTCGTTCGCTACATACTTTAGTCTGAGACTGCCATCATTGAAGTAATTTGTCACGAGGGGCGTTGTACAAAACAAAGACATCAACGATTGGATTGTCTCTAACCAATCAGAGTAGCAAAGCCAATGACGCGTTTTCAAACCGTTGCTTTACCCACGTGTGTTCTGGCCCAACCAATCGGTTTCTGGACCAATCCGACGGCTCCGAATGTGTTCGCACTCGGTGAAGGGTTGGGGAGCTACTCAGATCCAGACTTATTGCGGAGAAGGAACTAACGTCGGTGGGCGTGGCGTAGCATTTGTCCGGAGCAAGGAGTCTGGGTAGCCAGGCAAGCGTTTGGGTTCATCATTACATGATTTAAAACAAGAAAGGGGTTGCACACATGACGAAGGTACTCTATGACATATTATACTGAACAAAAATATAAACGCAACATGTAAAGTGTTGGTCCCATGTTTCATGAGCTGAAATAAAAGATCCCAGAAATGTTCCATACGCACAAAAAGCTTATTTCTCTCAAACTTTGTGCACACATTTGTTTACATCCCTTTTAGTGAGCATTTCTCCTTTGCCAAGATAATCCATACCCCTGACAGGTGTGGCATATCAAGAAGCTGATTAAACAGCATGATCATTTCACAGGTGCATCTTGTGCTGGGGACAATAAAAGGCCACTCTAAAATGTCCAGTTTTGTCACTCAACACAATGCCACAGATTGCAATTGGCATACTGACTGCAGGAATGTCCACCAGAGCTGTTGCCAGATAATTTAATGTTAATTTCTCTACCATAAGCCGCCTCCAACGTCGTTTCAGAGAATTTGGCAATTTGGCAGTACGTCCAACTGGCCTCACAACCGCAGACCATGCCAGCCCAGGACCTCCACATCCGGCTTCTTCAGCTGCGGGATCGTCTGAGACCAGCCACCTGGACAGCTGAAGAATATGAGGAGTATTTCTGACTGAAATAAAGCCCTTTTGTGGGGAAAAACGAATTCTGATTGGCTGGGACTGGCTCCTCAGTGGGTTGGCCTGGCTCCCAAGTGGGTGGTCCTATGCCCTCCCAGGCCCACCCATGGCTGTGCCCCTGCCCAGTCATGTGAAATCCATAGACTAAGGCCTAATGAATTTATTTCTATTGACTGATTTCCTTATATGAACTGTAACTCAGTAAAATCTTTGAACTTGTCACGTTGTGTTTATATTTTTGTTGAATTTATAATATCTGACAAGAGTTTTGTAGCATTATGAGTCATCACTTGTAGAATGACACTTGCTGAATCCTAACCCTGTCTTGTGATTCTTTACAGGATAGAGAGCTGAGGCCGGAGGAAATGGATGGTAAGTCTCATTATACAGGAGCATACAGCTTAAATTACAAAGAGCCTTCATATTGCATGGTATTACATAGTCCAGATCGGGCTGTAGCATTCCTCACTGGTTTAGATGCATATAAACAAAGGGTCTGCCTGACCTTGGTAAACTTTCATTCTCATATTGAATGCCTTTAAGTGCCTTTCCATGGACTCATTGTGAAATATTTTCTGCCAGAAAACATCATAGATCATGCGTACTGTTCCAAGCTTACACAAGCTTACCTCTCACTCTCATGTTCATTATAACACTACACTCATTGTAGTAGTAACAATAAAACAACAATGATTTTGATAATGTGGTTGAAAAACCCAATTGATATTTCCCTATTTGTGCCTCTCTCTCAGAGTTGCGTGAGGCTTTTAAAGAGTTTGACAAAGACAAAGATGGCTTCATCGGCTGCAAAGACCTGGGCAACTGCATGAGAACCATGGGCTACATGCCTACTGAGATGGAGCTGATAGAACTGAGCCAACAGATCAATATGAACTGTGAGTAACTCTGTGTGTGTGTCTAGTAAGATAGGGAGAATGTCGTGAGCGTAAATGTCCGCTCCTGCATCTGTCTCTAGCCTTTTCCTTTTTTAACTCTCTTTATTACTACCTTTTCCTTTTTTAACTCTCTCTTTTATTTCTCCCTGTCTCCATCTCAAGCTCTCTCTCATCTCCGGAAAAAGCAATCTCTCCCTCGGCTGACCTCTCGCTCAGTCTCTCTGCACCGCTCTCCGGCGGGGAAAAACTCGCAAACCCCTCTTTAACCTCTCTAAACTCTCTCTGCTTCTCTCTCTACTCTCTCTCTCTACCTCTCTCCTCTCACCTCTCTCTCTCTCTCTCCTCCTCTCTCTCTCTCTCGATCATCTCTCTCTCTCCTCACTCTTCCCTCCGCTAACACACACTCAAAGACTTTCACTCACCATTACACACAGGCCTCTGAACATTCAAGGTCCAATATCTCTGACGTAGATCCCTTTAACAATTAACCCTGAAAGGAACATAAAATCACATCCATCCTATAAATACTCTATGGGCTTTGGGAACATTGATGGCTTAATATGATGCTGTACATATGACAGTAGCTTAAATCTTGCCAGCCTTGTCTTTCTGTCCTCTTTTGCATGTTTCTGTCATTGTGCAAATGTCCCTGTAGATGTATTCTGTATAAATGAATGATTCCTCTATCTCACAAAGTGGGAGGACATGTTGACTTTGAGGACTTTGTGGAGCTGATGGGGCCAAAACTTCTTGCTGAAACAGCAGATATGATCGGGGTCAAGGAGCTGAGGGATGCTTTTAAAGAGGTAAGAATAAGGGATGGAGAGAAAGAAGGGTGGGTTGGAATGAGAAAAGAATAAGAGAGAGAGAAAGTGATGGGAATAGAGTGAGAGGGAAAGGAAGATAATTAAAATAGAAATGAGATAATAGAGAAAGAAATAACCAAATCCAAAGGGGTTGAAAGAAAGCTAGAAAGATTTAAGGTAAAATAAAGTTGATTAAATGAGGAGAAGCACTACTTACATGGGGAACTCAATAGTCATTTGGGAGAGATGACGGTATTGGGAAAGGGCAGAATACAATATTGCATGATTAACTAGTTCATTATTAATTACTCTTTCAGTTTGACACCAATGGTGATGACAAGATCAGCACATCAGAACTCAGAGAAGCAATGAAAAAACTTCTGGGTCAACAGGTAAGAAAAGTAGTTTTTCTGTTTGTGAGTTTTTCCATCTTTCACTCAACCTGTCCACGCATCTGTCTGATCCTGTCACTGTAGCCTACATCTGAGTAGTGTTATTTCTTGGTTCTTTCCCTGTTCTGCTAGGTTGGTCACAGAGACCTAGAGGACATCCTGCGGGACATTGACCTGAATGGAGACGGCCACGTAGACTTTGAAGGTGAGCTATCTAAGTGGGTTCTAAGATACCTCCTTGTAGGATGTTATTTGACAGGTATTATCTTTGTTATTTTTCGTTGTATGAAACATCCCAGTGGGAGCCTACCAGTTGAATCAACGTTGTGTCCACGTCATTTCAACGTGGATTTGCAAAAAGTCATCAATGTAAAGGAATTTCGGGAATGTCTTTTTTTCACCCAACTTTTAACCTAAATCCAATGACATGGTTCAAATTGTTGTTGATTTCACGTTGAATTGAGAACTAAATCAAATGTAAATCAAAACTAGACGTTGAACTGACGTCTGTGCCCAGTAGGATGATATTGCAGCACCTGAGAAATCCCTCTCATGGTCCACTGTTCATATCCAACCAACCCCTTCGGGATTGCCGATATTGCTCAAAGTGAGCTCCCTCATACTGTGTTCAATAAAGCAAGCTAGAAAATCTTGTGGAGACTATTCCCTTCGGACACTTTCACACACTCAAATACAAACACAGTGCACAAACACTCTCTGTCTGCCTACCGCTCACACACTCTCTCCATCACACACACACTCTATCTCCAACTGCACACTCACATTATCTCTCACACACACATACAAGCACATACACATGCATAGACACGCTGCCTCAGTGCCAATCCCCCCACACACACAGTTTGAGTCAGGATACTCCAGCACCATGCTGAGAGTGAGGTGGGAGGAAGAAGGGAGTCGGGCTATCTGTCAGATTATCTCCACACCAAAGGATTATGTCACCTCATAGATGACCAAGAGAACAAGGAAAACATACTACCGGTGGGACAAAAATAGCAATGTGCTGCTATTCTTACTAGAACCATTACACACTAAATCCATCAATGTTTATGATCCCCAGTGCTCATTTAGAAATATAATTGTTGCTATGAAAATATATTTATTTTTATTGGCTGATTGCAGCACATACAGTTCTTCAAAGCGCCATGATCTTCAGTACCATGCATTTAGGGGATCAGCCGCTACACTTGAAGTAAATCATGTTTGTTCTCTATCTCTGTGGTTTTATTCATCTTACCCCTCAGAGTTTGTACGGATGATGTCTCGCTGAGTGACAGGTTAAGCACCTGTAGGTCATGATACTGACTGGCCCCTTTCCTGGTAAGAGAGGAAGAGATGAAGAGAAGGAGAAGAGATGCCAGAGCCCTTACCAACGGACCACTTACCTCTGACTTCTGAACAACAGAAGGGGAAAACGACATATCAACCCTGCCCTGCTACTGCCACATCCGAAGAGAGCACAGAAGCTGACGGAACAACATCAGCGATCATTATGATGTATGCTGCTGTCTCTAAGAGCAAAACAGAACAACGGCCAGCCTCCCACAATTTTACATTGTACATTTGCTATATTAGAGAAAACATTTGTAGGTGTTTACAGGGGCTAAAGAGCAATGTGATGTTTGAGCTACTTACACTCATTGCCATGGTTGGTTAAGGCTGTAGCAAAGTAAAGGAGACATATTGACATTTTTAACACTTTCTTATGCCAGCGTCTCCCATAACTAGCCTAAAGCAGTATATTCCCCTCTGGGGCTTTGTAATCCTAAGATAAACTTTTGAATGGCAATATTATTTCAATGTATCTACTGTCAAAATATGTATTGTTCGTGTGTGTACGTGTTTGTTTGAGTGTACCTCAATTCTCCCATATTGTAAGATTCCATATGTCTTAAGCTACTGTAGAGTTAGTGTCAAACCCATGGTATATGCTAGCCAACTGTCTCTATCTTGAATTACATCTCATGTATTAGCACTGATGCACTTCTTTAGATTTTATTATTATCAAACACATATCGAGTTACATTATACAAGCTTTGAACATAGATGGGCAACTGCTTTGATAAAGGAAAGAGCAGTTTCATGAAAACTGAAGACTCTGGGGAATGGGGTAACAATCATAATTAAACTGTTTACGTCTGGCCAACCCAATACCCAATAATTTGCACATTGTTATGCATGAATACTGAGAATGCATGCTCCACTTTTGATTTAACCAGACACACTGTCACACTGTCACTCCATACAAATCAACAATGTGCACCACAGACAAACATACACACTGTAATTTATTGTGGTGATCAACAAAACACTGAAACCTGTGTCTCTCTATGTGTGTGTGAGATCAGTGTGTATCTCTGTACTGATGAGAGTGTGTTTCTGTTTGAGTGTAGAACTTGTGAGTTTTTGTGTGTCTCCCTTATGCAGTCTTATTTGTGACTTTGAATTTGTCTTGTGCGATTCTATGCATGCCAAATACTAAAACAATGTGTAGCGTAGTAGATGAAAATAAAGAGCTTTATTGCAATTATACACTGTGTGTGTGACCTTGTCTATCTGCATTCAGAGCAGAGAGCAATCAGACTGGACCTGGGATATACACTGAGTGGTGCATCGTGGGAGGACTGAGAGGGAGGCATCGCGCCGGGGTCCAGACCGGACCAGGTGTGCTACGGGGAGGCAGGAAAGGAGAGGAGTGTACTGCGTCCGAAGCCGGAGCCACCACCGAGGCTAGATGCCTACCCGGACCCTCCCCTATTGAGTCAGGTTTTTGTGGCCGGAATCCGCACTTTTGAGGGGGGTACTGTCATGACCCTGACCTTGAGAACCCTGTTATTCTCTAGGTAGTTTGGTCTCTCTGATTGGGGATCATACTTAGGCAGCCATTTTGCCTACCTATGTTGTGGGATCTTGTTTCTGTTTAGGCTTGTTGCTGTTAGCCTTTAGAACTTCACGTTCTGTTGCTTTTGTTATTTTGTCAAGTGTTTGTTTAATAAATTAAACATGTACGCATACTACGCTGCACCTTGGTCCGACCATTTATACAACGGACGTGACACAATGCCATATTAGAATGGCAATTTGCATAGCATTTTTACTAATCTCAACAATATTACATAAATTACTTTACATCAGCTTTTATAGTTAGGCCTAGTTAAGGATTGTTAAATGAGGACTGATGTCAAATTTGAACAAATTATGCATTTATTTTGGGTCCAAACATGAATATTCAATTACATTGAAATTAAGGCATTTTCGGATGGTGTATATAGTTCAATGTCCTTCAATTTCAAATGATCCATGTTCTTCCATCATGTTTTCCACATGTTCAGACTACATTTTGAGATAATATGTGACAAAGTGCAGTTTTTCTATTACTATTATAAGCATTATTTTATAGATTATCTGTAGTCTGAATATTGATTAATTGACACCAAGGCGAATGTAGTTTAACCAATTTATATTGCATAAATTATTTTATTTTATTTTGTGGCACTCGCTTGGAGGGCTGTAAGAAAACTCAAAATCAGTCACCAAAGATATGGGATAAAAGGCAAGAATTCAGTTGGTGAGGGATGAATATTGCACTGATCCTGCTAGTAGAGACCTTGAAGAGTAAGAATATGTAAATAAATAGTTAAAATGTAAAAAGGTTAAAAAATATCAAATATTTTGTAAAACTGTGCTCAACCAGGCAGTTGATATGTCCGTAAAAGGTAGACTATTGTGGACTAATAATCTGGTAAATAATTGTTTTATTAAACATTTTATTGAATTGTTGTCAACACACTATTATGCAATATAAATTGGTTAAACTACATTCGCCTTGGTGTCAATTAATCAATATTCAGACTACAGATAATCTATAAAATAATGCTTATAAAAGTAATAGAAAAACTGCACTTTGTCACATATTATCTCAAAATGTAGTCTGAACATGTGGAAAACATGATTGAAGAACATGGATCATTTGAAATTGAAGGACATTGAACTATATACACCATCCGAAAATGCCTTAATTTCAATGTAATTGAATATTCATGTTTGGACCCAAAATAAATGCATAATTTGTTCAAATTTGACATCAGTCCTCATTTAACAATCCTTAACTAGGCCTAACTATAAAAGCTGATGTAAAGTAATTTATGTAATATTGTTGAGATGAGTAAAAATGCTATGCAAATTGCCATTCTAATATGGCATTGTGTCACGTTCGTTGTATAAATGGTCGGACCAAGGTGCAGCGTAGTATGAATACATGTTTAATTTATTAAACAAACACTTGACAAAATAACAAAAGCAACAGAACGTGAAGTTCTAAAGGCTAACAGCAACAAGCCTAAACAGAAACAAGATCCCACAACATAGGTAGGCAAAATGGCTGCCTAAGTATGATCCCCAATCAGAGAGACCAAACTACCTAGAGAATAACAGGGTTCTCAAGGTCAGGGTCATGACAGTACCCCCCTCAAAAGTGCGGATTCCGGCCACAAAAACCTGACTCAATAGGGGAGGGTCCGGGTAGGCATCTAGCCTCGGTGGTGGCTCCGGCTTCGGACGCAGTACACTCCTCTCCTTTCCTGCCTCCCCGTAGCACACCTGGTCCGGTCTGGACCCCGGCGCGATGCCTCCCTCTCAGTCCTCCCACGATGCACCAAGCCCTGTCTGGACCCTTGTGTGGGAGGCCCCGACCCTGGAGAGGGGTTGACGTCTGGCTCCGGCTCAGACCCCGGTGGAGCGGATGGCTCCGGCATGGGGGAAGAGTAGACGACCGGACCCGGACTAGGCACCGGTGAAGCGGACTGCCCCGGCTCTGGTAGGGAGCAGATAACCGGAGCAGTTTGGGCACCGGTGGAGCGGACTTATCTGGCACTGGACTGGAGCCGCTGACCGGAGCTGAACTGTACCCCGGTGGAGCGGACTGTCTGAAACTGGACTGGAGCAGCTGACCGGAGCTGGACTAAGCACAGGTGGAGCGGACTGCTCTGGCACTGGAGTGGAGCAGCTGACCGGAACTGGACTAGGCACCGGTGGAGCGGACTGCTCTGGCACTGGTAGGGAGCAGATAACCGGAGCAGGACTTTACACCGGTGGAGCGGACTGCTCTGGCACTGGAGTGGAGCAGCTGACCGGAACTGGACTTGGCACCGGTGGAGCGGACTGCTCTGGCACTGGAGTGGAGCAGCTGACCGGAGCTGGCCAGGCACCGGTGGAGCGGACTGCTCTGGTACTGGAACGGGCCGTACCGGGCTGGGGACACGCACCACTGGTCTGGTGCGAGGAGCAGGCACGTGGCGGACCAGGCTGGGGACACGCACCACTGGTTTGGTGCGAGGAGCATGTACGGGGCGTACTGGGTTGGCGACACACACCACTGGTTTAGTGCGAGGAGCAGGCACGGGCGGTACCGAGCTGGCGACACGCACCACTGGTTTGGTGCGAGGAGCAGGTACGGGCCGTACAGGACTGGAGACACGCACCACTGGTTTGGTGCGAGGAGCAAGCACGGCCGTACCGATCTGTGAAGGATCACTGGTGGCACAGTGCATAAAGCCGGCGCATAGCCTGGTGCCTGCACGGTCACATGCTCCTCAAAGCGAGTGCGGGGAGTTGACTCTGCTAAACCTGGCTCCGCCAGCCTCTGCTCTAAGGCCCGAGTTCTCTGCTGCTGGAGGGTTAACTCCTCTCTCAACTCCTCCTGTTGCCTGGCCAGCTCCTCTCTCTGTGCATCCACTGACTCCTTCTCCCTGTGGGCCTCCTGCAGCTCCTCCTTCTGAAGGGAGAGCTCCTGCTCCCTCTTATCTATCAGCCCCCGTAAGGTGGTGGTCTCCTCTCTCAGAGTGCTGAGCTGCAGGTCTTTCAGGGCCTTCTGCTGCTTTGCCCACTACCCCGTGTGCCCCCCAACATTTTTTCTTGGGGCTGCCTCTCGGGCTTCCTTAGTGATCGGGACCTTTCGAGTCGCTGTTTTTTCTCCCTCGCTGTCTCCGTCTTCTCCCAAGGAAGGCGATCCATACCTGCCTGGATCTCCTCCCACGTCCATGATCCTTTTCCATCTAATATCTCCTCCCATGTCCATGATGTCTGCTCCTCCTGTTCACGCTGCTTGGTCCGTTGGTGGTGGGATCTTCTGTCACGTTCGTTGTATAAATGGTCGGACCAAGGTGCAGCGTGGTAAGCGTACATTTTTAATTTATTAAACAAACACTTGACAAAATAACAAAAGCAACAGAACGTGAAGTTCTAAAGGCTAACCGCAACAAGCCTAAACAGAAACAAGATCCCACAACATAGGTAGGCAAAATGGCTGCCTAAGTATGATCCCCAATCAGAGACAACGAATGACAGCTGCCTCTGATTGGGAACCACACCCGGCCAACATAGAAATACAGTGGGGGGAAAAAGTATTTAGTCAGCCACCAATTGTGCAAGTTCTCCCACTTAAAAAGATGAGAGAGGCCTGTAATTTTCATCATAGGTACACGTCAACTATGACAGACAAAATGAGAAAAAAAAAACAGAAAATCACATTGTAGGATTTTTAATGAATTTATTTGCAAATGATGGTGGAAAATAAGTATTTGGTCAATAACAAAAGTTTCTCAATACTTTTTTATATATACCCTTTGTTGGCAATGACACAGGTCAAATGTTTTCTGTAAGTCTTCACAAGGTTTTCACACACTGTTGCTGGTATTTTGGCCCATTCCTCCATGCAGATCTCCTCTAGAGCAGTGATGTTTTGGGGCTGTCGCTGGGCAACACGGACTTTCAACTCCCTCCAAAGATGTTCTATGGGGTTGAGATCTGGAGACTGGCTAGGCCACTCCAGGACCTTGAAATGCTTCTTACGAAGCCACTCCTTCGTTGCCCGGGCGGTGTGTTTGGGATCATTGTCATGCTGAAAGACCCAGCCACGTTTCATCTTCAATGCCCTTGCTGAGGTTTTCACTCAAAATCTCACGATACATGGCCCCATTCATTCTTTCCTTTACACGGATCAGTCGTCCTGGTCCCTTTGCAGAAAAACAGCCCCAAAGCATGATGTTTCCACCCCCATCCTTCACAGTAGGTATGGTGTTCTTCGGATGCAACTCAGCATTCTTTGTCCTCCAAACACGATGAGTTGAGTTTTTACCAAAAAGTTCTATTTTGGTTTCATCTGACCATATGACATTCTCCTAATCCTCTTCTGGATCATCCAAATGCACTCTAGCAAACTTCAGACGGGCATGGACATGTACTGGCTTAAGCAGGGGGACACATCTGGCACTGCAGGATTTGAGTCCCTGGCGGCGTAGTGTGTTACTGATGGTAGGCTTTGTTACTTTGGTCCCAGCTCTCTGCAGGTCATTCACTAGGTCCCCCCATGTGGTTCTGGGATTTTTGCTCACCGTTCTTGTGATCATTTTGACCCCACGGGGTGAGATCTTGCGTGGAGCCCCAGATCGAGGGAGATTATCAGTGGTCTTGTATGTCTTCCATTTCCTAATAATTGCTCCCACAGTTGATTTCTTCA